GGTTGGAGGCCATCGCTCTTAGGTTGGAGGCCATCGCTCTTAGGTTGAAGGCCATTGCTGTTAGGTTTGAGGCCATTGCTATATATTATATTGCTATTAGGTTGGAAGCCATTGTTATTCGGGTACTAGGGTGGAGGCAATCGCTAGTAGGGTGGAGTTGGATTGGCTGCGAAAGTCCAAACTGCATTAAACTCGTTCGTTCCCGCCTTGGTCGGCAGTTTGGTGTTCACACGCGAGCTCGGCATTGAGAGAGCTGGAAAGACATGCGCATGATGAGCCCAAACATGTTTGGGACTTTCTCCCACCTTTCCTTCCTCATCCAAAGTATGCAAGTGATCATGGCTCTTAAAGATTCGCACCGCAGTTGCCAGATGCGACGGGGTCAGATCACCAGAGGGCTCTGACACAGCTCTTGAAAAATGGGAATGCGCAGGCGGAGATGTTGGCGACCAAGCAAGCTCAGCAAGCTGATCATTTGCATCAACATTCAATAGGTCTTGCTCACGGTCGGACGGGTCCTCGCGGTCGACATTCGCGGAAGGTGCTTCTGAAAACGTTTCTGCATGTTTCTGCTTGTCTTTTGTTCAAACACTGGTCGAGTCTTCCTGCAAACATTCACGGAAGCATTATAGACCTGCAAGGATTGCAGTTGCACAAGCGTTAGACAAGAATCACATCATGGACAGCACTGTAGCAAAAGCAACTTGACCAGCAGTGCACAACTGAAGAGTGCCCTCGATAGCGGCTATGGGGAAAGTTGCAAATAGTTATTTTCTACTGCAGTGGTAACGACGCTCTTTATCAAAAATGCTTAGCATTGCAGTGCAAGCGCAACGCAAAGCGCGGAGCAAGCACAACAGGGTAGCACCATCCAAGAGTCCCCTGAGTGCTGCATACTGGAGAATCCAAGTCCAAGTACCATTCCCCCTGCATATCTTCCTGCCGCTCTCTACTGAACTGATAATCAGTTGAGGCTAACCGTTTTTGGGGCACTATTGTTGGGCTCTCATCGAACTTCTCCGAACCGGCAGGATCTCCGCATTGTGTCTGGGTGTATTCCCAGACCTAAAACACACAATGCTACTCACTTTCTGAATCCACGACCGGCTTTAAGCCAACTCCAAGGACGAACACAATGTTCACCAAAAGCCTCTACCTACCTCTTCTACCGGCCTACCCCCCCGGAAAATTAAAGAAAAGGTCCACTTGTATGACGTCCTCCACTGTGGTGACCGGGTCCGCAGCGATCCAAAAGTGCACTGCAGCCAGTTTCTCATTCGGCTGACCTTGCAGGACCACTGAAAAGACCTCAGCCGTTGGAAGAGGCCGAGTTCCCTGTGGTCGAGATAGCAAATGGGACAATGAAACACTAGACTGACTGTGCTTATCTGTATGTGCCGCAGATATGAGAACAAAGAATGGTTGTTGTTAGCTGCTGATCGCAAGCAAAAGACAGGTACAGCATCGAAGGCCATGGCAACCTGCCGCCGCTCCTTTGGTTAGCAAACACACTTCATCAAAGTCAGATGACAAACTGGAACATACATAAGTAAACAGTAAACTCGTCAAAAAACGATGCAAGTAACAATGTGCTACTTCGGAAGGCCAAGTGACTTCTATGGCTTGTTTGTCAAGCCATTTTTTGCTAATTGCCATCTCAAATCCAACGAAACCTCAGTCTAGAAGAATTGCAGCTGAAGGGACAATAGCCGCTGAACACAAAATGTGACAAATGTGTCAAGAAACAATCGCTGAGCATCAACGAATCTTCAGTGAAGTTTGGTTGTTCCTGAGCCGTTTGTTCAGGTTTGCATGCTTGGAGCAAGAACCTTTAGAATTGACAGAAGCCAAGGGGTCATGGTCTGAGGCCACGTCCAAGAATGGTGTAGGGAAGCGGAGCTCGGAAGTCGGAATGGCTCCACCGTTTGACGAGTCCACAAGCCGCATCACCTACACAGTGTGCGGCTGGTGGTTCTGTCGGATTCGTTCTGTTTCTGTTTCTGGTGGAAATCACGCTATCAAAGTGCACCATCTCTGCTCTTCAAACATAGATAAACATAGGGTGTTCCGTATCGATCATGCGCCTTCCCCAAGTGCATTGGTTCTTTTGTACCACGAAAAAAACATGACCCATCATGAAACAGGTCCGGTCAATGACCTTGTCTGCTGTATAGCCTCTCTCGAGGATCAAGAAAGCGCCCAACAGCAGAAGCGAATTTGCCACCTCGGAGTACTCAAGTCCACCCAACAAGAACAAGGGACCCAAATGGGCCAAAGTGGGGCCCAAGGGCCAAAACGGCTGTGAAAGAGAAAGCGTTGTACTAGTAGTATTGCCCTTGTTACTAGTAGCGATGCCCGGTGTCTGTTCGTTTGACTTGGTGCCAAACCCAAACGTTCTGACTGGGCCGCCCAACCGCTCCAGGTCGCCTGGAGCAAGTCAGGCACACACTTTGGTGCTTCTCGACCTGGAAAACATTGCTAAGGAAAGCAACTTGCGGATACAGGAAGCCTAGAAGGCTCCATTTCGGAACATCTCAAGCAGCTCAGATTGTCACCTCCTCCAACACCGCTTGCAAGTGGTGACAGAAATCTAGGATGGTGTCCTTGGAAGACTACTTGTCAACTCACTGAATGCAAGGTGCTCAAATCTTTAGCAAAAGGCCTGCATAATGTCCTGAAGCACTTAGGAGGACAGAATCACTCGACTCAACAATGAGGACAGAATCACTCGACTCAACAATCAATGTATGTGTGTATATATATATATTCTATAAATATATATATATATAATGCACCATTGGCCCTCCAGTTGAGCGCATCGCGCTGCTTTTCC